ATCATTCGAGAAAAATAATATAAAATAAAATTTTATGTGAATTTTCGCAAATTTACCGATAAAACAAAACTACTTGTCCACATTATTTTACAATATATATATATATATATATATATATATATATATATATATATATATATATTTAAATAAGTTTTTCGTGGTACAGAATTTAATAATAGATAAGAAAAGACAATATTTATAAGGCATTTTTAAAAGCAAAAGCTAAAATAAAACAACCGGTTTCGTCCCAGGACTTATCAAGTTTATTTATTCTGGGAATTTAAAAAAGCGTGTAAATTAATTTTAAATTAACGAATGTAATGGAATGGGGAAAAATGATGAATTTCAAGAAACTAGAGTCCGATAATATTCATACCCAGCAAGCATTCCCTCTGTTTTCAAAGGGAAGGCTCACGAGATCTGATATACAAGGACTCTAGAACCTTGAGGTGAAATGTGGAGTGGGACCTAGATAAAATTATAAATCGGTCACCACTAAAATTTTCCACGCATTTCCTTCTATTTATTAAATGTTCAGCAATAGCAGAACCAGAACTGTTGGTCAGTTGGCTATTCCTGGAGGACGGATTCAAAATCCTCGGGGGGTAAATGCTGTTTTATTCTCGAATCCAAACGCTGGGACATCCTCCCTATGTAGTCGTGTCCACAACTACACTTGTATTGGTAATTCACTGAATTAACATGATGGGGAGAGAGAACGTCCTTACGAATGGAAGAGAAAGCAGGACGGGTAACAAATATACAAGGACTTTAGAACTAATATTCGCTGAAAGATAACAACCATTGATTCAATGGGAAATACGTTTCGATAAACTCTCACCCTCTGTACCAATATAGGGAAGACGCAAATAAACTGGGCATTTATCAGCTAATTGCGGTTTCACCCTATGGAATTTATTGATGACGTCTTGAATAACGGAGTCTTAAATATCCAACGGATATCCGTTTTTTGATAGTGTCATTCTAATAAAGTCAATTTCTCCGCAGAGAAGGCCCTCAGAACAGAACTTAAGTGCCCTGTGAATTAAGGCCTTAATCAAATTAATCTTACATTGTCTGGGACAAAAAGAGTCCCAAAGCGTATAAAGTCCCGAAAAAGTGGCCTTCCTAAATACAGAAGTCTCAATCTTCTCAATGGACAAGAACATCCAAAAAGGAAAGACAAGAATTGGACTCCTTTTCTACGGTGAACTTAAGAGCAGGATGGACAGAGTTTAATTTG